CTTCTTAAATGGTGGCCGGTTATGTTGTTATTAAATGACCATTGTGACCTTTTAAATGACTGAAAGTTAAAAACGCTGCTATTAGAATTGTATCACCTGAGTGCGTCCGCACCTTTTTTAATGGATCCTATATGCATCAGCCATCCATTTTTTCAAATCCAAGGGAGGGTATTGGTTTGTAGTTTGCACCGGAAGCATGGTTAGCATGAGATCTTCCCCCTATATATATATATATATATATATATATATATATATATATTTCAATATATATATTTGTATATATATTTATAAATATATATATGTGTAATATAATTTAATACTAATAAATAATCAAAATTCAAAGATTTTTATTTATATCTCAATTTCTCACATAAATGTGAATGTACATACTACATAATTCATGGGGGCACACCCCCGAAACAACAACTAATATACAAGAACAAAACGCTAACAAGTCTAACTTTTACACCACACTTCCTAGGACCTTCACATATCTTCTTTTGCAGACTTGCACAGAATGAAACTAGTTCTTATGCTACCAACTTCATCGTTTGAAACCTCACTTGCTTCTATCATACTTCACCTGCAAAGTGGACAGTACAGTAATCACACACTAGTTCAACTTAGTACATCTTTCCTATAAATAAGTAAAATTTCAACTCTAAACTACAAAATAAAACAACTAAGCAAAGAATGGAATTACAAAACACAACAGGCTGCTCCCAAAATTCTAAACAAGAAAATAAACAAAATTTACAAAAACATAACACATGTTGTTATTTCATCTAACACGTGTGAGTTTCTACTTTTTTAAGTTTTTTACTGAGAAAAAACTTTATTTCACCTGTTTCACCAAATTCACCATTTTCTTCAAAAGAATAATTCAGTTTGGAACCATGCATCCCTAAAAAGGCAAAGGCAATTCCGAATGAATTCAAGCCACCCTGTGATAGTTCCGGACAAAAGCAGGAATCGGCCCTCTAGATCTTCTGCAGAGCTTTTGCCACTGTATCGACTATACATAAGACCCAGTGGTGGTACACTAGCTGGCTTTGTGTTGTCTCTGAAATCCATGACTAGGGTGATGCAAAGATGAAATATTTCCCTTACATGGTGATGCCGAAAAGCTAAAGTTACGAACTCTAGAAATAGAAACCCATGCCCAGAAACTAGAGTTTGAGAACCAGGTTTATACCAAACATAGAATTATAAAAGTGCTTACACTTATGGTGCTCTTCACTATGTTTAGAATCTACTTGAACACCTTTAATTTGTAGTCGTGCAGGACTATATTAAAAAATTAGAAAATCATAGTGCTCGTGTAAGTAACTACCAATTATAAGATTTTACTTGAAGAAGAGTGCTATAAAGCTGCTCTTAATTCGAAGCATGAGGTGAACAACTCAAGTCATAATACATCTAAATTAGTTACTGATCAATATTCCTCACAAGTAAAACAATATTCACAACATACCTCTGTCATACACCATTTCATGGTGACTTGTATGAACTATGAAGTCCATGAGAATCTTGACTAGATATAGAACTTTTGCCACTATTTCCAATAATGTGCTTTCCAAGTCTGGTGCAGTTTTGTAAAAAATCAATTAACCATCACATTACTCACAAAAACGTTTATCTACTAAATTATTTCAGAGTAATACACATATCTGTATGTACTTGCTGCCATAGGACGTACTAAAAACCAATAATGAAATATAAACATTAGAGTTAGATAGATTTTAAATCAACAACAGTTAAATTCAAATGAGCACATGGAAAGACTCATCAATATTAAAAATACAATATAAATATCTCAGAATCAAAATTACCTTAGACATCCTCTAAGTCAGCTCAGAAACAATCAAATAATCTGCACATAGTTTTATATCAAACTCATAAACAGATATTAAAAACCACCAAAAAAACTAGACATATAATAAATTCTAGTACAAAATAACACTTTTATTCCTTTTATGACTTTTACTAAGTTTTGCAGCTGAAAATGACTTATATGAGACATTGGGCATGACTTGTTGGTTAATATAAATAATGTAGATGTTAAGATCAGATTTAAGCAATAAACATTTTATATGAGCGGGTCCAGGATGGACTTTTCTTCTTCTGGATGAGCTCAATAACTCTCTTTGCCTCCTAATAACATCAGTCACACACAATTAGATTATCTTCCATAATCGTATGCAAGAACAACCAAAATGATACACATCACAACCAAACCTAGAGAATAATTGGCTTAATCCTAATAATGTAAGATCTTAGCCTCTATCTTATTTAAGGTTCCAAAGTTCCTTCAAATTTTCAAAGTGTGAGCTGTTTTTGTGAAATTAGACCAATAACTTATATGCATTTCATCGAGCATCTCATATGCATGCAGAGTTAATATGTTAGGATCTTGTGACTTCAAAGTTGAATCCTACTAACTTTAGTAGATTTCCTAAGCAAAGGACCAGTAGAGGGATAAAGAGAGCCATTGAAAGGGGATGATATGAGATATAACCTCACCACCAAATATGTACACAAAGCTAAAGAGAAAAAAAAATTGACATCAAACCTTATATTAATAGACAATGAGACTAAAAGAGCACTGAGAACATAGAATATGGGATATTTGAGGGAAGAATTTACCAATTGAGCTTGTTGCTCGCTTGATTGCCTTAGAATGACAACAATGAACAAAATTGATATACATGAGACATCGATGCTAGTGTTTCATCGACTAGCCCTGGTTGTACATGAAAAGTAGCGAATAGAGTAAAGTGATAAGGATTTATGAAATTACCATCCACAACTTTCTTATTATTATGATCTATGAGCACATACTCAAAACTGAATTTAAGTATTATACACAAATGAGGATAGAAAGTCACCTTCTTAGCTGAGATATCGGATTGTTTCCCCTGGACTTGGTAATATTGGTTGTTTGCAACCTTATTGAAGTATTTATTCCTATAACACTAAGAATATTACTGTCTATTTATAGTCTAGCTAAGTAGAAATGGTTGTCAAGAAATTTTGAGAGGAGTTACCTCTCAGGAATACTATCAAACACCTAGATGTACATACTTGAAATTCGATGAAAAATGCCCAGAAAGAAGACGCAGCCAACAAAACTAAACTACCTCACTCTACAGTTGCTCATGAAGTTGATTTAGGGTTCTGCAAATGGGTTAACGAAAATTTCAAGTACAGACAGATTCTGAAACAACAATAAACTTGATAAAGGGTTCAAGTCATTACCTTACCTGCTCGCATAGTAAACCACAGACGGCTGCGCATCCTTCAAAGGCTATCCTATCGTCACATACACCATGAAGAACACCAAGTAGCCCATCAACTAGATCAGACGGGTCTTCATCTCGATCTGCTCAACTGTTACTCTACGGAGAACTCCCTATCGACGCACGGAAGGGCATACTTCCGAGATCTCAAAGAACACCCTTTCTTCGGGGACACAGGTTGAGCTTCTCACCATCGGAAGAAGCATCTGGACACTAGGGCTACCTCTGAAACTTTTTGTTCTTATTAAGTATGGACATGTCATATATTCCGTTTTGGATTTAAAGAAAAAAGGTCCTGCGAACGAAGCTTAAAGTACTAATTGAAGTTAATTTATCAGGGTTCTGGGATGGAAGAGGAAGATGATGAGTTAAATAGATGCGAACGAAGGAGACGCTGTTAGCTAGGGTTCTACGGAGGGCCGGGGAAGAGTGCTGATGATGTTTGGTGGAAGAGCAATCGGCTAATTTTAATTTATGAGAGAAAAGAAAATAAATACCAGTGTTAAAATTTGACTCACAAAAATAATAAATGTAAACAAAATGTGTGGGTAAGTGTCACTATAAAATATTGATTTAATTGTGTCACAGAGTAGTATCATTATACATTTTAAAAAACATATGTCATGTATCAGTGACACTTTTTCATAAAGTGTCACTACACAAGTGTCACTGTAAGACAGTTTTCTAGTAGTGTTAGAGACGGTCACCCCTGAAAGAGCAACACGAATCGCTAACCATGTACCGGGCTTGACACAGCCATCCTTGTTTCGAAAGATCCAAACATACTCAATGACATGAAAAAAGGCTAAAATCCCAAACAAATTGACACACCTGACAACATAGACAGTAAATCTCATCGGAGGAGGACAAAGCATAAGAAGAACTAAATAAGCAAAATAAATGTCTTGAACCCTAGCTAGCACCTCGTTCAACCCCTGACAGTGGTTCAGGAGGAGGGCGGACCTTCGTCGCTCGATTGATTACCTCTCTCGATGTCGTCCTGGAGTCGGATTCAGGAACTCCATCATCATCTATCAGTAGCGCACCCACCGTAGGACCCAAACTCATGCCATTGAATTGATCGATCAACTTCTCCTCCACGCTAATCATGTCCGTCGCTGCTACCACGATCGTTCAAATCACGCACTACGATGTCGGTGATGCGTCGATAACTAGCGCCGCACCAAGACGGCAAAAAATCGCACCCTAAGCTCTCGCTAGGGAAAACCTACGCAGGTTCTAATCCCTAGTAAATTAAAAAGTAGGAAAATAAATTGTTTTTATTGCAAATCAAAGGTTGATTAAATTCAAAAAAGTAATTTTATAAACGTGTTTTATATGGAATTTAATACGCAGTAGTAAAAAGCAAAAATCTACAGAGTATGATTTTGTATTGGCACTATTTAGGGGTGTTTGGAACTGATTCTGTTTCTGCTTCTTTTTTAAAGTAGAAGCAGAATCAGAATCAGTTTTCAGAAGCTGGTACCTACCAGCTTCTAAAAAAACTGATTCTGAGAGTAAATTAGAGCACCAGAAGTGTTTCTGCAATTTCATTCAAACACTCCAGCTTCAACTTCTGCTCCCTGAAGCAGCAGAATCAGTTTTGAGAATCAGATCCAAACACCCCTTATACTTCAAAATTTAGTGCTGAATATACATTAAATAAAGTAAAACGTAGGTTCAATCTTTTGAATTATTTTTTGGACATCCATTTATCTTTTCTTGAGAGCAGTTTTTAACAATAAAAATCTAAAAAGCCATTCCAGTCCTAGATTTCGCTTATTCCCGTTGGACTTGAAAGGTGAGGGAGCTATTTTTGATCGGTGTAAATGTGTAATCAAATACAGAGTATTAGGCTAAATTTATTTATTCTAAAATAATGTCTCGGGAATGTAATTTCAGTAGCATAAGACCAAGTAATTGGTACGTAGTAGTTCCCAATATGTTTCCACAGCAACAAAAGTGTTGACCAGGTAAGAGCACACGGATTGCCTTCATTCATAAATCTCCGTTCTTGCTACTTGCGAGTCAACACCTTCCAATTAATCATTGGTGAGCGCTCGTTCTTCTGCACAAATGAAATTAACCCTTCACTAGGAACGAAAATTTCAGCTCCAATTATGTATCATCCTCTTCCTCGCCACGTACCCTGTATCTTCTTCTTCTTCATCCTGCTCGCCGTGGCTGCCTCCCAACCCCTCGGAAACTACTGCCCAAATAGCACCACCACCTATACTACAAACAGCACTTTTCATTCCAACCTCATGGCCCTCCTCTCCGCCCTCGCATCAAATGCCACCCGCCCAAACGGTTTCTACAACTCCACCGTCGGCAGCCGCAACTCCACCGCGTACGGCCTGTTCATGTGCCGCGGCGACGTCTCAACGTCCGGCTGCGCGGCCTGCGTGAGTGATGCCGGCACGAATATACTGAAGCTGTGCCCCAATAAAAGGACCGCCGACATTTGGTACGACAATTGTATGTTGCGTTACTCGGATGTGTCTATGTTCGGAAGAGCTGACCAGTCGATAGTGCTGAATTTGTACAATACCCAGAATGATACGCAACCGGCGAGGTTTATGCAGGCGGTCGGTAACACGATGGGTCAGATGGCAGCTGCGGCGGCCGCCGGGGACAGATCCGGCAAGAAATTCGCGACCCTGGAAGCTAATTTTTCGTCGTTTGAGAAGATCTACAGTCTGGGGCAGTGCACGCCGGATCTTTCCGTGTTGGATTGCCAGAGCTGTTTGGGGAGCGCAATCCAACGGTTGCCAGGGTGTTGCTATTCGGCACTGGGTGCTAGAACGATCTACCCAAGCTGTAATGTTAGATATGAGACATACCCTTTCTATAATAGCACCGCCGCCTCTCCTCCACCGCCGCCGCCTCCGTCTCCTACCCGCCGTCCTCCCTCCAGCCCGCCTCCCGTCTCTGCCCCCAGTGAAGGTAAACTTTTCAATTTTCCACCTCTAGGCCGGCACGTGTTAAAATCAACAGTAAATTTTAGAAAAAACTAGACCTGGCGAAGTCGAAAAGTCAAAACATAAATCAAACTATAAACAAAGGAGAGAAACATAAAAAGGGAAGAAATGTACGGAGTATGCGATCGTATTTTATTATCCCAATCGAACTCCGTCAATAAATCAAATTTCCCACCAGTTTTTACGTATTCAGTCAGTTAATTTAGTTTTCACCGCAATCCAGTACCGTCAATATATTTCCCAAACAACATTGTGCTTAATTAAAGCCTTCTTTTTATTATTATACGTCATTGTTTGCCAATTTTTTTTGAATAATTATAAATTTAAAAGTCAAACATTCCGATGTGAAAATAAATAAATTGGGAGTCTAGTTTTGTTGATTTTAATTTAGAACTATTTTTGAAAGAAATAACGGAAAGACGTAAAAAAGTATTTTAATCATAAGATCTTAATTTCAGCACCTGAATTTATTTAACAAAAATTTTGAACCTAAGAATCTCCAGCATATGAAACTTCATTTTTTTTTAATATATATAATATTGGTGTCATATGAAAGATCATAAAATACTACGAATTTTGGTATACTTTTTATAAAAATTAGAGTTTGAATACAATAATTATACCAAATTAAAAAGATGGGATTTTTAATATTGTATTCCCCACACTTTTAAATTGACATGTACGCATAAGGGCACTACTGCAAATATATTTCTCTCCGTCAATAAGCCTCTAAATTCCCACTTGAAGAGGTGCTAGTTACCCACTTTCCAACCCACAAACACATGGATGGCAGAATATTTGAGAGTCAAAACCTCAAATTTGGTTTTTGAACCTGCGGTTTGCGGGCCTAATAGTTTAAACTCAATAAATTTACTTTAAAACTCATTCAAATATTTACTCCGCATAAAACATTGTTTGAGACTCAATAAGTTCATTTTTATATTTTTGAATTCATTTTGATTTATTAATATTGAAAAATAATTAAAATACCTCAAACTTTGAAGCAGGGGCGGAGCCAGGATCCTAGGTCAATGGTGTCAATTGAGAAAATAATTATTATATCAAAATGTGCAAATATTATAAAGCAAAATAACAAAAATTGTCATTTATAAATTTGAAATGCTAATTAAAAAATTGTGCACGTCGCATTTTCATATTTTAAAAACATTATACTTTTTTTTTGTATCAAGTGTCGATCAATTGATTCACACTTTAAAGAAAGAAGACTATAACATCTTGTCTAATATAGTACTCTGTAATATTTCTAATAATGTATCGCATGTCTCATTTTACATGTCTTAACTATTTTTTGGATTATATCAAAATAGGTGTCATGTTTCTTCTTTTAAAAAGAAATATGTGATCTACAACAATTCACCTTATTATACTCAAACTTTATTAACATTATTAGTTTTTCAATCACTTTATTATAATTGTGTCAAACCAAAACAAGACACATAAATTGGGATGAAAAACTATACACTTTTCAATTATTTTTAAGTTAGTGTTCCAACTTTTAAAATATATACATTGATCTCCATTTTATAAATGGTTGTGTCAATTTTTAATTTTTGAAAGATTATATATCTATACTCCGTATATAGTTTTTTTTAGAAACTTCTCTAAATATGACTAAAACATAGATAAAATTTATAAATAGGAATATCAATGTTTTATTCCCAAAATAGGACTCATTCGCTCCTATTTTGGAAGTTTTAATCAAGTTATTCTTTTGATAGAACTAAATAAGCCCTATTTGGAGAATAAAACACAATAATTCCTACGTAGTATTTGTTTTAATTTGTGTATGTTTTAATCTTATATTAAACAATTTCTACTTTTTCCAGTGGTGTCAATTTTAAATTTTTGAAAAATTATACATACATATATATATGAAGGAAAAAAAGTTGAGTGGTGTCAATTGACACCACAATACATAGTGTGGCTCCGCCACTGCTTTGAAGGGGTGTGAGGTAAGCACCCCAAACTTGCATATGTTATTTAATTACCCCAAATTTTATATAAAAAGTTATTTTAGCACCATGGTCATATATTATTTTTAAAAAATGTTAGTTTTTGGTGTTAATTTCATAAATTACAATATTTTAGCATTCATAAAGATACAATTAGCATTCTAAACTTTCATTATAAATTAAATAATACTACCCCCACTCTATATAATTGCATCATTTTTAATTTGCTATTTTAAATTATGCAATTAACATCATAAATTTACATTTTTGAAAAAAATAATATATGGTCATGGTGCTAAAATAACTTTTTATATAAAGTTTGGGGTATTAAAATTTCATATGAAAGTTTGGGGTGTTTTTCTTACCTAGCGCGTAGTATTTCCTGTGATCCAAATAGTCTTTAAAGAGTACTGTGATTTCATGGTAGCCGACACACGTAGGTATTGGTCAAGTATAGAGCTTAGCCGCTTAGGAAAGACAGTCAGGGAATTTTTAGAATACAGCCAAAAATATACAACTGATGGTGTTTTCTGTTTGACTTTGTTTTCTGTTCAATTACATTAAGCATACATACCAGATAAGTCACAAACTATACCATTTTTTTTACCCCGGAAGGTCAACCACTAAAATCAATCAGTGGGGCAAATGCCGGGGGACATTTATCATATTTTATTAAAGAGACCGAAGTATAAAAGAAGGAATACCAAAGTAATCCATCCAATAAGCTCTTTTAACAAAAGTAAGAAGTAAATCAAGGCTGGAGTATCAACCATATTAATATAGTATCCTTTTCATTTTTTAGGTAATAGTATTAGTATCCTTTCAGTTAAAAATGGAAATTTCAATGTGGTGTGTTTCAATGTATGCAGAAAGGAAGAAACATTCTTCTTCAAAAGTGATTATTATTGCTATTGTAGTTCCGGTCATTGGGATTATACTCTTCATTGCAATCTTGTGTTGTGTAAGAACTAGATATGTCAAGAAAAGATTAACAGCACACCTTACAGGTTCAGTTCATAATTATTAGGTTTTATGTTTCTCTCCTTTGTTTATAGTAACTTACCCTATTTTCCACATTTTTTAATTTTTCTTCATTTTCTTTTTCTTTTTAAATTTTTTTTAGATGTGACTGGGATTTCAAGTGATGAGTCCTTGCAATATAATTTTGTTACTATTCAAGCAATTACAAACGGTTTTGCCCCTGAAAGTAAAATTGGCGAAGGTGGATATGGTTCAGTATACAAGGTAATAAAGCTCAGCTGGATCAATTTGTTTGCTTCAGTCCATTCTATAATGGCTTATTGATTCTCAGACAAATACATTCAGGGAAAGCTTCCTGGTGGACCAGATGTAGCTGTAAAAAGGCTTTCAAGAACATCAGGCCAAGGGGCCCAAGAGTTCAAGAATGAGGTTGAAGTAGTAGCACAGCTTCAACATAGAAATTTAGTAAGGCTGCTCGGCTATTGCTCAGAAGGAGAAGAAAAGATACTAATCTATGAATTTGTGCCCAACAAGAGTCTTGACTACTTTTTATTTGGTTAGTTCCAAACACAAAAAGTCATATATCTCTCTTCACCTCTTATCAATGTTCATTGTCCGAAATTCCAGGTCCTGTTTGGTATCTATGAGTTTAATTCGCAGCCGCTTGGTAACCACTTTTTCTGGCTTATCTGCCTTATCCTAAGTCTTAGCAAAAACAAGTACATGCCCTCCCCCCACTTTTTCCCCAACGAAATGTGAGGTTTTTGAATTCGCTGAAAAAGATCACTTTTTTATTGTATTTTATCGCATGTTATAGTATTGTTCCCAGGGTTCATGTTATAGCTTTCTAACATTATTTCTTTTATTTAATATACTTTGGTAATTAACCTTGAAAGTACATGCATTTGGGCACAAAATAATGCAGATGATGAAAAGAGGCGCTTATTGGATTGGTCAAGGCGTTACAAAATCATAGAAGGGATAGCACGAGGACTGGTATACCTTCACGAAGATTCCCGCCTTAGAATTATACATCGTGACCTCAAAGCAGGCAATGTGCTGCTCGATGAAAATATGAACTCGAAAATCGCAGATTTTGGAATGGCCAAAATTTTTGGAGTCGATCAAACCCAAGGAAATACAAACAGAGTTGTTGGAACATAGTAAGTATGAACCTAGAGTTAAATAAGCCTTCATGTCGTAACTCTAATTTGGAATACCTCATATGTTCATGTATATATATACTAAGCTAAGATTTTGCATATGGGTTGCAGTGGCTACATGTCTCCCGAGTATGCAATGCATGGGCAATTCTCAGTCAAGTCTGATGTTTATAGTTTTGGTGTTCTTGTTTTGGAGATCATAACTGGGAAAAAGAGTTCCAACTTCACTGAAACAAGTGAAGCCCATGATCTTCTTAGCTATGTGAGTAATAGTTTGTGTGGTAGAGCTTATTTTGAAGAGCTTATAAGATATCATAAGTTCCAACTAAGCTATCCGCTCAGTTTGAGAAAATATACCACTTTTGGTCCTACGCTGTTAGGCCATTTCTAATTTTGGTTCTCAACTTTCATTTATCCACTTCACGTCCCACGACTATAGATCCTTTGTTAGTTATTGCCCTTCCGGCTACTTTTCGTGTCAATAACTGTACAATCTCCTGTTGATTTTCATTGGAAAGTGGCATCTATAGTTGTGGGACCAAATGTTGAAAAACAAAAGTTTTGACCCGAAGTGGGAATGATTTGATAGTCATGAGATAAAATATAATGTTTTCTCTTCTAGCAAATGAAATAAAAGCTTAACGAAGCTCTTATTTGAAAAGGAATGTCCTATATATAGTTTTTCAGAAGTATAAGCACCTAGCTCTTCATTTGTTTCTACTTTCTTCTAATAACCTTTCTATTTTTCAAAAATAATAAGCTTTTTTCAATTTCATGAAATGTCCTTTATGTATCCTGTAGGCATGGAAATATTGGAGGGATGGGAGGCCATTAGAGATATTGGATCCTATACTTGGAGATACCTACTCAAGAAATGAAGTCATCCAATGCATCCATTTGGGCTTGTTGTGTGTTCAAGAAGATATTGACGAGAGGCCTACGATGGCCAATATCGTTCTCATGCTCAGTAGTTATTCTGTCAGCCGGCCGGTCCCATGTCACCCGGCTTTCTTTTACAGTGGAAGATCAGAGATGATGCAGAAAGGGGGGTTCATGTTGTCGGATCAGTACACAAGTGATTCCATTCCCTTGTCTGTAAATGAAGTGTCCATTACTGAGCTTTATCCAAGATAATATTAAAAGGATATACAAGTAAAGTTTATGAAAATTGGGAAATAAAATAGCTGAGGAACTATTGAAACCTCATTCAATTCACTGTTTATAAATGTAAGTGCGGGACAAGGAACGATGCATACACTTAAAGTACCATATTTACAGAATTAGGCAAATTTTGGATACTACTGAAGTAGTTTCTGTGTCTGGTTTGCCCCGAGTGCAAATCCTAATATGGTTTTATGCTATTTATATTGACACATTTTAGGTGTGTTAGGACTTCTGATATCGTCCCGACAGTCCTCTATGTTCAGTCTGAATGAACGATCGTACTCAAGGGAGGATGCCCCGGTTACATTCCTTTGGGGAGACAACACCGAAAGGATGAAGAATTAGAGCAGCATTTAGAATATTGGACACAAGGATGAACAGAATGATTAATGTATTGAGAATGAGTTAAAAGTTCATGATAATCCATGATTTTAGAAGTCAATAAGAATGAACAGAAGTTTGAATACGCCAAGACTTATAAAGACTCTTAAAAGTCTACATTAAATACACCTAAACGTACTTTTGATGTTTTTTAAAAATTCACATTGAATACACATCTAAACTTTTAAAATTCATGAACTTTTAAAATTTTGTCACTAATTTCTAATACTAATACACCCTTAGTGTTTTTTTTTAAGTAAAATACACCCTTAGTGTTAAATCGTACTTCCTCTATTGTTAAATAAATGCAACGGTCAACATTTCACACTTGCCGAGATACAACTTTGACCATTAATATAAATGATTTTGTATTAGTAAAAAAGTTAAAAAAATTAGATTATGAAAATTTACAATGAGACAAGTTTAATAATATTTTTTTTCATAAAATAATATTATTACATTAATAAATAAAACATAGTCAAAGTAAAACATGTGAATAGTGTAAAAGTCAAAGTGTTGCATTTATTTAGGAAGAGAGGTAGTATTTATTATTATTACTATCGCACATATGAATTAGTTATTAAAAGAGTTCGTTAAAGGTTGAATGGTGTCATTTTATTACATCCAGCCATAACATTTTTAGTACATAGTACACACATAGAGATTGCAAAACAATGAACCTTCAAGGACCAATTGTGCAATTTTATACCAATTTGGAAAATTTTGAAAGTAAACCTTATCCCTATGAGACTTTACGAATGTCATACTGGAAAAGAGGTGTGCCGTGAAAGAATGGTGAATAGAGTTTTTTCTAGAAAATACTGAAAGCTTCTTGCATTTCTAGTTTCTACCCCTGCTCTATAATGCGTGATGCAAACCAGACAGGACAGAGAGAGAAATGGCAGCATACGGGTGGAAGAGCTTCTACGAGGACGAAGATCGCCCCGAGAAGCCGAGGAATTATGGCGTCACTGAAGTTCGGTCCCCACATTACTCCCTTTTCTCTCGCCCCCTTCTCCAGGTTCGTTCCCTTCAACCCACATCATCTGCTCTTTCTTCGTAGCAATTCAACATCATCAGTCGTATTTTCAGAAAGAATCCTTACGTCTACTCCGCGTCTCCGCCTATCGTTCAATTTCATAGGCAAACTACTAGGACGAAACATTTCGTTAATAAAAAACTATCCAAAGAAGAAAAAGCTCTTAAAAAATATTAAAGTCCATTTTCAAAGGAGAGCAAAAGAAGTTACTTAAAAGAGTCTGCAATGAATATGATTAGGATGTTAATGTAATTGCGTTTAAAAGTGGAGCACCATCAATTGATTTTCTTAAGAAGATAAAACAGCATGAGGAAACAATTACTAACCCTACAAAATCCTTGCTACGGTCAGTTCTGGTAATGAGAAATTCAAATCCATATCATCATCATCATCAATTAATCAGCTAAAGTTGCGGATGTGAAGAAGCTATTTTGGCTTCTAGTAGCCAGACCACTGTGGAGGAAGAAAAGCAAGAGATAGAAGACAAGATGAATGTAAACACCAATCTGGTGCCGGAAGAGCAGCCAAACGCCCCAAGAGCAATGGATTTCTATGGTTATCTAAAGTGACTCTGTCGATGATGAAGAAATTGCTGTACTAGAGGACATATAGTCTGGTTTGTGCAAGAATACAACTTTCATTGAGTTTATTTGAGCTTTCAGAGAATCATAAAGTGATTATGCCACTTGTGTCTATACATTCGAAAATTGATGTTGGTTTAAAACTTGAAATGGGTAAGAAGCATACATACTTCGAAACAATCCACACCCACTGGAATAAAATAATAAAATAATCCACACCCACTAGCATAATTCATAAAGCTGAAAGCATTTAAAGAAGTTCCAATAATCCAATCAAAGTCTTAAGTGTCTAATTGTACTTATCCAGATGACCCGACTTTATTACTTGATTCTATGCCCTAAATCTTTAATTGCTTATTATTGTTTGGTTCATCATATGCATTTCCCTTATATTTTTCTTAAAACGTGTCCCCTAGTCAAGAAAATTGCTAAGTCTGCAGAGTAATTCCATTTTGTAGGATATGTTTGAGACTATGGGGGAGTTTGTTGATGGGCTGAAGTTTAGTGGTGGATCTCATAGTATGATGCCAAAGACATACATCAGAGAAATAAGTGACCTGGCACATAAGCACAATGTATATGTCAGCAGCGGGGATTATATAGAGAAATTTCTTCGTAAAGGTCCTTCATATTTTAAAGAATATCTCGAGGTACACTTGAAAAAAGTCTTTTTTCTCTATCAAATTTACATCTTATAATATTAATTCCCCTGATTTATTCATAATGGTGTTCTACTCTAGGAATGCACACAATTGGGTTTTGATACCATTGAACTTGACATTACATCCTTAGATCTTCCTGAGGAGGCCATTCTGAGATATGTGCGGTTGATTAAAAGCGGTGGGCTTCGAGTAAAGCCGCAGTTATCATTCAAGTTCAACAAGTCTGACATACCCTTGAGTGACAATAGAGCATTCGGTGCCTATGTGGTTCCAAAACCGCGAAGTTCAGGTGAGCTGAAACAGAATGTTGGTTTGATCAGTGGACTAGGTTCTCTCGATCATTTGAGATTTATAATATTCTGCTCTCAAGATTTTCAGTAGAAGATAACCGGAAGAGGTTGCTGGAGTACATACTTATAAAAGTTGAGTGAGTTACTAATGACGAGTAACGGTGAGTTTGGTTCAGTGAAGGTGAGGTGAGGGATTTAATCTTTAACGAAGGTGTGGGGAAGGATAGGAGGAATTGTATACATTGTATGGATAGTGCATGAGAGGGAAGAAGAAAATATTGATAAATAGACTATCATTCTGTTATTTTATCATTTAATTAATAATAGAGAACGGATTTAATCAACCAATAATTACAAATATTACCAATATTCATTCACAAACTTATTTGGTATATATTAGATATATGATATACTTTTAGAAGTGTCTATTACATAATTATATATAAATTATTACTTCTAATCACAAATCATTAAATATAGTTATATGAATATGAGTGTGTTCATGTTCATTTCATTGCATCTAACCATCTAGCATTATATCATGCAGAATATGTTGAAGATGTGGACCTCTTGGTTAGGAGGGCAGAAAGATGCTTAGAAGCTGGGGCAGACATGATAATGATAGATGCAGATGAACTATGCAGGCGCCCTGATTCTGTCCGGGCGGACGTGATTGCAAAAATCATCAGTCGTCTAGGATTAGCTAAAACTATGTTTGAAGCATCAAGTCCTCAAATCTCAGAATGGTTTGTCAAACAATATGGTCCCAAGGTAGAGTTTTAATTAAACTACTCAATATGAATCCTGTGAAAATTTCTTGAATCAGTTTGATAATGCCTATAATGGCTGAAGAGGCTGTAGCTGCTAAATTTTTGGTTAAAATGATTGATTTATCTAAACTTAGAATATTTAAAATATTCTTGAAATAAATTTAAAAAAGAATATAATATAACGAGAGTTGGAATTACATCTTCACTCATTATTTATGGAACAAAGTCACCTCATCACCTGACTCACTCACTCACCTCGACTCTAATGTTTTCATTATAAGCCGATTTAGCTAATGTGGTGAAATCAATTAGAGTTTTGGTAGGAAATCTGACTGATGAGTGATGAGAAGAAAATGCTCGAACCAGACACTTTATGTCATTCTGAACTCTTCAACGGGTGTGGTTTTTAGGTGAACCTTATTGTGGACCATTCTCAAGTGATGGATCTGGAATGCCTTAGGGGGCGAAACCTTGGTAAAAATCACTCCTCCATTCTGGGTTCTTCATACTTCCTATTCTGATCTAGCGTTCGCATGGAGGATGCATCTTAATGCTATCTATCTTTGATCTCTTGAATGTGACAATAATGATGTGATGCTCTGTACGTCCTAGCCTGGTCCTCAGATGTTCTATGTACAAGTATAACATGGTGTTTCATCATGTTGGCTTTCTCCGATCTTGTATAAACTCTTGTTTTTTTATCAGATCATTACGCACTGCTTTATGTTATGTCAAATTTCAAGTGTTGAGTATGACCTTCTCCGTCTTCTTGTATTGAGCTTATATATGTGCTGTGCAAGAAATTCTGCTCTACAAACATTCTTTCCACTAGCAAGAAATATTCACAAGACCTGAACATGCATATATGATAAAATTATACAAGCAAAGCCATTATCCGATTATCGGAACATTGATACTTGGAACTTTATGCTCCATTTGTTTTGTGGAAATGTTCTTGAAAAATGTTTTATAAACGTGTTCTTTTGCAATTCTGTGAAATAGAGGAAATCAAATTTTAAAATTGGTTTCACTTTTTTACATTGTGTTAGGTCAACATTATAATGTTACATACAACGCTCTCTTTTTCCGAAAATGTTTTTACATCAATTCTTTTGCACCGTAACTGATTTTCATCAAAAGGAAGATGAAAATTTAATCCTCAGACTGCCTAGTTCTATATATCTACTCAATTTATCTGCCAGAAAAAGAAGGAAAAGATGAAAAGAACGAAAAGGTTAAGCTATTTAAAAGTTCAAATACTCCTTGGACCCAATAATTGCATATGGTTAAAATTAGTCAGGTCGGAACCAGGTGGTAAAATGATAAATGATCCAAACTGGGATAATTTGAAAGTAACTGGACTGGAACTGATACTTGGGACTGGTTCAAGCTTGGTACTGTCCCAGCTCTTTTGGGTACAAAGACTGGAGCGACATGCACCGTTTCTGACATTTTTATATTAAAAGAAGCTACAAATTGGTTTAGAAAAGAAATTGGTATGGAACTGAAACTCACCTATTCCGAGACTTACCAGCTTTGAAACACAGGTATACTGGCTGGATTATGAATTAGGTTTTTTTGTAACTGTCAGGATTTGCATGTTTGGAAATCTGAAAAATCATTCTATTAATTAATGGTGTCCCATTCCCTAAATGCTTATGATTTTTCCAATTTAATTTGATGTGTAAATGTTAAATGTGTGGTGAACTGAAGAATCTTTCATATATGGAAAGAAGATGTTTAAGTCTTTACAAATACATTCATTTTTATGCACTCTTGCAAAAAACAAATGGTTTCAACCATGGACTGTTAGTTTTCCCAGTTCCTAGTTAAAAACCAATAGTAAATTGGAGCAATAAGGGGAGAAACAAGAAAAAGAAGATGCCAGCAGCAGTGTGGTTTGCTTTGAAGAGGTCATTTAAGTGTAAATTTTCAAAAGGGGATGCACATGATCCACACCCAAGTGGTAAAAACACATCAAGGACCAAAAGGAAAGTGAAAAACAGGTCTGTATGTTCAAAACCAAACTTGCAAAGCCCCACTAAACCTGTTGGAAAATCTAAACTTGTCAATCCAATTGCTGCTCCCTATGTGGGAATGGTTAATACAGTGTGGACACCTGTAAATGGGGGAAGCCAACACAGTGGGCCCCCAAGAAGGAAAGGGCTATATAATGGACCTCTGAGAAGGGGATTGTCCAGATCATCGGGTTTTACTTGGGCTGGAAGAGATTCAAGTAGCTCTCAACCTTTGAGTTGTCCCAAATGTGGTGAGAAGTTTTCAGAATGGAAAGATGTTGAATCGCATCACCTCTCCAACCATGCTGGTAAGTGTTTAAGAGTAATGTACGAAGTACATTTTATTTTAATTACTTTACTTTTTAGAGATTATTTGAGGGCTCATAGCTTATTTCAAGCCATTATGTATGTTCGTAATTGAAAAAATCGATTAGAATAGGGTCTCAATTGAAAAACAATCTCCCAGTCCGTAGCATCTTGCCTAGTCGAGTATAGAAAGTAAACTACAAGCTTTCTATATTACCTTTTCACTAGTGAGTAGTGACCCTCTTCTTTCACAAATGAACTTCATCTGTCTATTTTGTCACAAGCCATTTCATATCTTATAGTCTTATACACACATAAGATAATCAATAGCTAGTTTTACCAAATAATTATTATGACCACAACCACACTCAAGGGTGTGTTTGGGAAAGTGACATTTCAAGTGTTTTCAATGCTTTCACTTGCTTTTTAAAAACATACTAGTAACATGTTCGGGTCCTTCGGGACATTAAAAGAGAAAAAGAAGTTCTAGTATAATTTGAACGGTTTTTGAAAGGTACGACCATTCAAATGTTTTATTACTTTAAACAACTTATTTCATCTATTTTAACATTCATTTACGTGGTAAGACCTGAATTACTAAGGTCTGAGGGCGACTTATATGTCAAAAATATCAAATTACTAGGGACGGATTGAAGAGAGTATATTTTTAGTGTAGATGTACATTATGCATTTGTTCATTTGTTACATTTCATCATGTTTCACAAACAATACCTAAAATCCGAATTTCTATATTATATATTATACATGTTACAGTCACACAAATAGTTGAAGGAGACTTGTCAAGAGAAATAATAGAAATGATCTGCAGAACCAACCTGCAGTCATCAATGCACTCCGGCAACAAAGAGGATAGCAATGGTATTCAAATGGTCTTGAAAGTGCACAACACCCTAAAGACACTAACTCAATTTGAAGAGTATCGCGAAGCAGTTAAGACGAAAGCCAACAGACTAGTCAAAAAACACGCACGTTGCCTTGCCGATGGGAACGAGCTATTGAGATTCCATGGCACAACCGTGGAATGCCATTTAGGCATGGGAGATTCCTCAGGTTTATGTGTGTCACATACATGTGATGTTTGCCAAATTCTGAGACACGGGTTCACGATCAACAGTGGGGTCGGGGTGTTGACGGCGTCCACGAGCCGAGGGGCACTTGAGGGCGTAAAGGTAAAGGATGGCGGTGGTGAGAGGAAGGTAGTGATGGTGTGTAGAGTGATTGGTGGAAGGGTGCATAGAGCACTTGACAGTGTTGAAGAGATTGGGTGTGAACCATCATTAGGGTTTGATTCTCTAGCTGGTCATAAAGTGGGTGGTTTGAGCTCAGGTGTTGTAGAAGAGCTCATTGTACTCAGCCCCAAAGCTTTGCTTCCTTGCTTCATTGTCATTTATAAAGCATAAACATAATTTTGTAATGCACAAGGTAATGAAGATAGGCGGAACCTAACCCTTGAATGGTATGGTAGGGCACGGGAAAAACATGTAGACCAAGGAGAAGCAAGTGAAGAACATACAAAAACAAAAGAGTAGACCTCATATGCAGTGGCGGACCCAGAGATTTGTGAGAGCGGGAGCACACTAGACACTAAAGTTAGTCTATAACTCTATAATAAAAACTCCAAATGTAATAAAAATGGTAAAAAATGTATTAAATTATGCAGAATAGTTAATTACATATTAAAAAGTTCACTGCTGCAACTTTGGTAAATCGAGCATACGAGTTTTCATATTCTGAAAATGTTGCATAATAGTTTCATTGTCCTAAAAACATCTCTCTCGATGTAGCACACCAAGCAATCCGTAAGATAGTCGTCTCCCATCATATTGGGAAGATCTGTCTTGCTAATATTCATCGCTGAGAAGGCTCTTTCAACGGTTGCCGTTGCAACTGGTAACACTAAAGTCAACTCAATCAGACGATATACCAAGTGAAAAGAATTGTGAACTTTAAGCTCAATCATCTTCTTACAAACTTCACCAATAGTTTTTGTACAGTAGAAAATAACTCATTTGTTCTCATTTCATATATCCACACATGGAGTTGCTCTTTCAGCTCCATTCGTTCAATAAATGAAAAATCGCATGAATATAACTCCGCAAGGTTCAGTAGCTTTGACTCACATAAATCGGAGAACTTCGGCTTTTATCATTCTAGTCTTCCAAATGTTAGTAGGTTTTTAGACTTGGGAAAAATACAGCAATAATACTAAAACATGTGAATTTTCCCCATATATGACCATAGGGCATCATACGTACAATTGGACGGTATAGTTATGCCGGCAACATGAATACTAGAAAACAAAGTATTTGACACCCATTGACCGTCGTATTTGATCATAATCCACATTTCCGAGTAACCTACGGGGATGGAATCCATGGATAATGCCGGGAAATGGTAGACGTGAATGGATGAAGATGAAAAGAACGTATAGTACGGTTATTGGAAGAAAGTCGGATGTTAGGGAAAGATAATTAATTAGAATAATTATTTTAATCAATTACTTCCTTATTTTTAGGATATTCCCATTATTAAACCACCGGTTATACGCATGGCAGTTACGAATGATGATACGTGATATGAATCCCCACCATTTTAGGAAGGAAAAAAAAAATTAATTAATTGCATAGGAGGATAGTGTTGGTATTAACTTAAAAGGCAAAACACACGTCCATGGGATCACCATCGACCGTGGTCATAGATTAAGAATAAAACTAAACTAGTCCTAGATTGGGAAGTACTTCCAGTTTTAGTTATATACGTGTTAATTTTCTCTTTAGACTTTTAATACTCCGTACTTTTAGTTGCCCGCACATCGGCTACTTTTTTGCATTTTAATTTTTTTGTTACTTTTTCTTTTCAATTCTTAATTATTTTTTATTTTTTGATAATTCTATATTTTTTATTTTAATTCAGCTAAATTTAAATATTTTGTATTAATTTTTTATTTATATAACTGTAACGTTTTAGTATCTTAATAATCAAATACCGGTATAAAGTCAGGGCACCCGTTTTTATCCTAAGTACTACTACTTAAATTCCGGGTTCAAAGCGGGGGCACGTGCCCCACCTAGCCCCCCTCAGGTCCTCCACTGCTCATATGTTGCATAATGTAAATAAATAAATAAAATAGACCAATTGACACAAGTAGGGAGAGCTGAGGTATGAATTAAAATTGTCATTTTCAAATTTTGCTACTATTTTCTTACTTATTAACTACTGTAATTAAATATAACGATAACGATAAGCTATTAATTTAGGGCACTTGAAATAAACATAACTACTAATTTCAAATATTACTATTCTATTCAATTAATGAGATTATCATCACCCGTATTAAACATTATGAATTATGTTCAATTAAAGATTTTCGAAACACATTCGTAATTCGTAAACATTACTATAGGTTCTATTTTAAAATACAATCATACAACTAATAGCACAATATATATAGAATATATAAATGAGAGTATTGAATACGATAATGGTAAGCATGCAAGAAGTTATAGAACGAGTATTCAATGTTGCTACTTGCTATGGTGAAGGACGGTTCTTACTTCTTACCTCTCCAAAGAGAATATACGAATGTCAAGTAATTCCATATTACATGAAGCTACAGGGCCCAATATAACATTGGTCTTGTCTAATTAGCTAATCTATTAAATACACAAATACAAAGATAATTTATGAAATTAGACAAAATAAAATATATTCTTTAACATAACAACTCTATTCAAATATCACTATAAAAAAACAATTCGGCACGGATTTGGCACGGAACTTTGGCACGGATATGCCAAAATTCGTAGGGTATTTGGCACGAATTTGGCACGGATGCGTTAAATCCGTGCCAAATTCCGTGCCAAAGTCGTTTTGTCACCAGCTATTTGACACGGCGCTGTGCCAAAAATAAGTTACAGTCCGTGCCAAACTCGCCCAATCCATGCCAAGTCCGTGCCTATTTCAATGTTTTATTGTAGTGTATATATAAATAAACATTTTCTTCTGTGAAATTTTAATGTCACTAATATTTGAAATGCTTGTAGTAATATGTTGAATACTATCAGAATATTTAGGAATGTGCTTCGTAAATCTAAAATTTAATAGAAGTTTATTTGCAGATGCAATGTTCTCGAGATGATGATAATTGAATAGAATATTTATTTGAAATTGTCACCAATTTTCAATTTTTTAGGGAAGTTGTCCTAAATTGGAGTAAACATGTTTTGTAATTCGAAAATAAGGTTGCTACATTTTCTTCCAAAAATAAGAGTTGTGATTGTCTTGATTAAAAAATATTGTCATGATAGAAAAATAATTTCATTAATAATAACAAATATTGTCATGTTTAACACCTAGTACTACAACTATTTGATATGTAAGAAATTCTGCCGCCGTTTCCGGTGCTATCGACTCATTGTTGCTGCCACCATAGACTAATCTCACCACAAAAGGACTTATTTGGTTATTCAAGGGAACTAGAGGGGAACACGTACGTTAATCAATTAATTTGGCTAGGGGTGGAAATGAAAGGAAGATTTACCTTAATAGGAGCAAAACATGGCTCTTTTTCCAAAATAGGAGCATCTAGTTTAAACATCCTTAAATAAAGTTTTTATTTGTGATTCGACCAAAATACCCCTCACAACCTTAACAACTACTGCCTCAGGACTGCCGGACCGCCGCCCGCCGCCGGAATCCGTCACCGCCGAGCTGCCTCCACCATCGGATTTCCTCCGTTACCAACGAACTGCCTTGATGTGCAAGAGAACTAGGGGTGGGACAATTAATTAGGTTAATTAATTGCTGGAGTTGTTGGTGCCGCTGCTCGAATCCGCCTCTGACCGTTGACGGACTGTTGCTGCCACCACAGACTGCACCGCCACCGACAGTCAGCCTAGGTGGGTATTTATTTGGATCAATTAATTAATTAAATAGAATTAGGACTCAGACTATGTTTGAGTCCTAATTTGAACAATTTTTGTTTCGCTAATTCTATTGGGCATATGATTACAGAATTTCATAAGGTTTAAAATCATTAAAATAACCGAACCGGCTTAAGCTTAATTAATACTCCGTAGTAAGCACCACCATGTACACAGATTAGAATAAGTACCGCCTATTTGCACAATTAGCGAAAGCCAAAAGCTGTAGAGATTTGGCTCCATTATCCGTGGGCGCACCCCTCTCTCCCCCTTCTTTTACGTTTTATTTGTTCTCCTCGTTTCTCGAGTTTGATTTCTAGGGATAGGAAAGAAAGTGAGAATCTTTTGATTGGAATTGCGGAGAGAGCTAGAGACAGAAGGGCGACTCCACCCTAGGGAAGGGTAGTGTGGTTGGAGAAAGAGAGAATGGCGAAGAAGAAGGCAACGATGACTTTGAAAGACTTCCATGGCGGTTCTATTCCTTCCGATCTTCCTCTCCCATCTGCCCCTGGCGTGTATGTTTTTCTTCTACCCTTCAACTGCATATCTCGCGCATTTTGCATCTCTGTTATAGATTTATAATTATATTTCGGATATATGCGCCTAAATATGTAATTGTTTTGGAGCATATATGAAATCCTGATCTGAATCAAGCACCAGCTTCCTTCAGTTTCTGTATCTGATTTTGATTTATTCTGAACCAGTTCTTTGATTAAATGTTATTACAGTCCCTCTGTCAAAGTTGCTCTAAATCTCCCATCCTTTTGAATTGCTGTCAATTAGTAATCTCTTCTAGTGATTTCAGCAAACTTCAATCTTATTTCTATTAAGCCCATAGCCCAAATTCAAACTCATTTGATTTCTTCTACATAAAAGACCGATAAATCAAAACCTATGTGAAATGTTTAACAACGTTAATCATATTTCATTCTCTTTTACATTATCCTGTTAAAAACCACTCACACTAAAATGAGTTTACTGTCCATCTCCCCTTAGCATTTTCCGGAAATCAAGACAGAACTTTACTTTTTTGGGAAGTACTTTCCTAAGCAGCTCCCAAACACTAAAAAAATTTGTGAAACATTGACGCGGATGACTTTGATTTGATATTTGGCAGAATTGTTAGGCCATTGGATCGCCAAATGCATTGGGGGACCACCACAGGAAGGATTGATCATCATAAACTGCGTCCTGGATCAGCAGGAGCATCAAGAAACTTTGATGAAAAAACACCTTTCCTCAGTCAAAATGCTCTCATTGGCCGTAATTTCGATGAGGACGAGAGGAAGCCATTGGATGGGGGGACACCAGGCGGCCCCCGCAGGATGGTTAGTGATGACGTCATTTATTCTCAGTCGAGCCGTGTTGAACCCAATAGCAGACCGCTATCAGCACCTCTGTCTCAGATTTCAAGCACTACATCTAATGGTTCATATGCATCAAGATTTTCAGAAGTTAAGAATAACCTTAGAGTAAATCCACAAACTTCAAGTGGAAACATTCGTGTCAATACAAATTCTTCAAATGTGTGGGGATTAAAGAAAGAGGCAATAGGTATGAAGGAATCCTTGGTTACTACTGGATGGTCTGCTCAGGAAACAGCATCTAAGTTGGTCCATGCCAGTGCACTTGACAAGATCTCATCTGGTAGGTGGAATTCAAAACAACATATGAGCTCCCCAACAGATGGCGAAAAGTATGATCGTAGTGCTTGCAGCATAACAGATGCGGTTGTTGTAGGGGATTATAAGAACAATGAGAGAGTTCAATCTCCTGTAATCATAGAGAGCCACGAAAAAAGAGATTCAATTATAAATATCCATGGAGGAGTTCATATTTTCCAACATGCAGGCAGATATAGCGAATCTGAAGTTTTGTCATCAGTGGCTTCCGAATCATCAGAGAGGCCCAAGTTAAAACTGCTTCCTAGATCTAAGCCAGTAGAAAGTTATGAACCACCCGCATTGGTAATTCATTTGGACTTTGATATCTTTGTTTTTCTTTAAGGCATGTCCGGACTTCGGATGGAGGGTTTTAGGCTTTAGAGGGTTGAATATAACCTATGAAATTAAATCCTTCACTTCCAACAGACCCTTAGGGTATCTTTAGGAGTTTGGAGGGAGGGGAAGGATTTGAAGGTTAGCTGTGGGAGGTGAAGGGGTTGGGAAGTGAAAGATATCCTTTCTGTTTGGGACTTAACGAATTTACAAAGAGAGGGGCTATGGAGGAATTATAATTAAAATCTCTTAAGAGTTGAGATATATAGCGAATTCAAGTAATTGAACTTGTATTCATTTTAAATTGGTAAAAAATTATCATTTAATAATTTTAATTTGTTATCTTTGAGAAAAAACCCAATTTTGGGAACTTAAAATTGAGCATTTGAAGAATTTTGGAGGGTTACAAGAACCTTCCAAAATCATCCCTACCAATTTTTTAAACTCCTAACCAAGAAAGAGAGGGTCATAAACCCTCCTCAACCTTCCCCTTCCCCCAAAACCTTACTCCCAAACATACCCTTTGTGTTGCATCTCATTCCTTTTTTATTCTTGATATAGGGGCAGCAGCAGCATAGTGATCCTATTCATCTTGAATATGGTGGCAATATGCCTGGATCCAGCAACCCTGCCAAACATGAACCTGTTGGGTATAAAAGTGGTGACCGAGCTGCTGAGCGTCCAAAGCTGAATTTGAAGCCTCGTTCACAGCTTTCTGAACAGTTAAACGACATCGAAAGTAAAAGGTCAGCCATATACTTCTAGTCCTTTTTTAATAATATTTCTCATGATCAAATTTGAACATATGCTCTATATTTGTTCATGCATTTTCTATGTCCCTCTATATCTACTGCGTGCTTCCTCTGTACAAAGAGCCAATTGAGAGAGGTGATTAGCTTGGTATGCTTATTCGCTTGTGTAAATCGGAAAAATGTTTATATTTGAGTATCATGAATTCTCCAATCTGAGTTTTCTTGTCACCTGGTATTTTTTGGAGATTCTCTGAAAATGGATAGTGCCGATAGTCACAAGAAAGTTAGTTCTGTTACCATGGAAACCTAAGTGTTTCGATATGTAGTACGTGCTTGACTCTCATATATCTTTCTAATTATACCCTCCCCTTTCAAGGAGACACAAGTGATCAGGAAAGTGCAGGAGGTGCTTGAATTCTTTTAGTTTCAGCACAACAATGAAGTATATTGATTGGTTCCATATTTTTGTAGATTGGGTTTTAGAGCTGTACATAACACTCTATCACTTGAGATTTCCATTTGAGAAAATCATCTAACTATGGCGTTCGTGATTCTTTGATGCAGGAACACTGTTTTTGGTGGTGCTCGCCCAAGAGAAATGGTGAGTCTTCTTTCATTGATTATTATGGTATCACCAACATCTTAATCCCAACTAGTTGGGGTCAATGACATTGTAAAGTGGATTTAGCTATTTATAAATTATAGAAGTGTATATGAATAAGATTGTCGTATTATCTGTCTTTTACAGAGCTATTAAACTAGGGTTGTGGAGTTTGTTTGTGTGTTTTTGTGAGGACGGGGGCTCCCTAGAGTTTTACTGTTTATATAACTAAACAATAAGTGCACAATCACACATACATTTTAGGGTAAGCATTAATTGTCTTTCTAAATGAATTTAAAGATGGGGATCAAATAGAATCTTTCCTTAGAAATTAAATAAATCTAGGCAATCGTTTTAAAAAAGATAGATGAGATAGATTTCAAATTAAAATGCTCGTGTCTTTTTTTTTTTGTTAAAGGTTGAACTGTTGAAGTTTGAATTAAAACATGGTGACATTTGTAAATATGTGTACCTCAAGAGTGAGATGTAGGTGCACCTCCTCTAAAGTAAATGTGCTATGCATGCATTGCACATTTGAAGCTTCACATGATTACCATTAGGCCTTTCAATTAAATGTCAATATAATCTTTCCATATTAGGTGATGTGGGTTTGAAATTTGTACTATTCCCCCCGACGCTATCATTCTCAATGGATCTCAACTTTGTATTTCACTTGTTTGTGTGTGTATACATGTGTATATGTATATATGTGTGTCATATTAGGGAATTTGTATATCTATATATATGTGCATTCAATATTGTAGAAGTCGCATATCAAGGACACACACATGGTGATATATGCCATATTAGAACAAACTAGCAAAGGACACAAAAGAGATACCCATGGATATTATATATGTATGGATTTTTCCCAGGAGGTGATTTAGGATTTTCTTATAAACCTAGCTTAGAAGTTAGGTTGACCTGTTCTTGTGCTTACTAAAATCCAATCAATAAAAAAGGTTCTTTCATTCTACTTCCTGTGCCTACTACTTTGAGTATAGGTTATTATAACTTCTAGATAGACTGCACCAAAAGCAAATGTGGGAGAACTTACTGATAAGGGATATACTTTTGACAATCATCTCGACTGCTGACCTCATATGCTGCAATCTCATATTAATTTATCAACAAATAAGTTTAAAGAGTAGAAGATGAACTGTGTGTTGTTAGTTTGCTAACTTAATGCTGTCACTGGATATACCTACTTAAACCAGGTTCTAAAGGAAAGGGGCTTTGACCATGCAGGTGATTGTGACCGTCAATCACTCTCTAGGTAAGGAAACTGAATGTATCTTATCTTTGACAATACGTTTCACAATTATGGGCTAAAAATAGCTTGTGCATTTTTCCATCTGAAGGAACAAACAAGACATGACATCACATCATGCTACCCGTTATAATAACACAGAAAGTGCTGAGAATGCTGTCGTCATAATTGACAACAATAATAATAGACGGGACCCCCTTAGAACAGATGTGCAGAGGAGAAATAAGCAGGGTGAGAAGTTGAGGAACAATGGCAGAAACAGCGATAGTCAGGAAAGGCCACCTTCACCAGAGACATGGCGGCGAAAGCCCGTTAACGAGCAGCCAACAGTGCTTCCCAGCAGTGCTCATGGAGGGGCTAGGTTTGGGAAGGTGGCCTCTGCGGTTGAGCTTGCCACTGCCTTTTCTAAATCAGTCTCTGATCCGTCTCTTGCCGATCGTTTTTCTGGCCAGAGAAATGTACCCTCCGCTGCTCGGCCCTTTTCTCGGTTGATGGGTCCCCCACCTAGGCCTCAGGCTCAGATCAATAGTTACTAAAGCTGGGAAAGGATGGATTGGATGCATCTGGTTATATCTATGAATCCTCAGTTGGGGTAATCATCTCTTTCAGTATTACAGCAAGCATATACATTGATTGAAACTTCTCAAAACCTGCCACCGAAAGACAAAGAGTCAGAGAACAAAAGAGAAGAAAAATAGCAAATGTTTCTTCGTATATGTTTTCATAATCTGAGAATAATTTTAGAAATATGATTTGGATTCCGCATTTCGATTTGCTGCTCAATGGCTCTGTCAATAGAGGCTGTAATTGTGGCAACTTTTTTAAATTATTAACATTGTGCTATTGTTTTGTGATGCTTTTCTCTTATTGTGTACCTATAACAACACATCTTGATTGCATTATTGGATTTTTGCTCGGTTCTTGGACTACTGGTAGAGATTTTTTGCCCATCATTAAATAGCACCTGTAAGAACGTTTAACATAACTTCTAAGTTTAATACAATTTAACTTTTTGAAATTGTCATTATCAGTACTTCGTTTGGTAAGAGTTGGCATTAAACCCATCTGTCCGCACATATTTGACTAGCTTTGTGTGATATCTTATACAATTACTCCGTATGTGTGAAATGTGTGATGTTGTGTTATATTTATGGCATGTTTGTTTGGGGGTTAACCTAGGTTATTGAAGGTTCAATTTCTAGTTAACCCCGATTGTTTGTATTTTTGCAACAAGAATTTAGGTTATGTGTTAACCTCACTTAACTCCCGAGAACCTGGAAGAATCTTAAATTGAAGAATCTCCGAATCGGGGGGGGGGGGGGGGGGGGGGGGGTTTGGAGGTTAAGTTCTCCTATAACATAAAATGAGCTAAAGTACCTTCATCCTAACAACATTTATTGCATTAACTTAGGTTCACCTTATATATTTCCAAACAATATTTTACATATGGACCTAGATTCACTTATGTTAACCTAGTTTTTATTAAAACTTAGGTTTACTTTATTACACTAGGTTTATTTAACTTCACATTATCCAAACAGAGCATTAGAGTGTTTAAAAGGGTGAAAAGACTACATTTTCACAGTAAAAAACATCACATTGAATTTGGAACACCATTTGTGTTGCTTCAATGAGAGGAAAATCATATAGTTTGAAGTTTCATCGTCTTATCATGAATGTGAGAAGCTTCTGGAGGAAATAAAGAGATTTTGATAACAGTGCACATAAACAAAATAAGGAAAAAATAACTAGGAAAAAAACTGTACACTAATATAGTACGGAGTAATATATGATTATATGCGAGGGTACATATATGAAGAGAGAATAGTGGAGAGACTAGTTGTGTCAGAAAGAGAAGGGCAAAAGGTGGGATGTGGGGAAAATTGAGGCACCGGTGGGCGTAGCTCAACTGGTAGCGAGGGAGTGCCACAAGGGTTAGGTCTCGGGTTCGAATCCCGGCAACTGCGATGAGGGGTTACTATGCTGAAAAATGCATAGGGCCTCTGCAAGTACCGGGGACAGAGCCCCACTCTCTATCTGTCAGATTGTGATTATAGTCCAATTTACATCTTCCCATCGTGCCGTCCGGTCGGTGTTGGGGGGCCCTCAGGGATGGGGTGTCATCCTTTTTTTTGGGGGGAAAATTGAGGCTTCAATTTTGCAGACTCATTGCATCATTGGTAGTTACTGCGAACATCACAAGGTATCAAAAGCAAAATAACAGAAAACGCGGTATAAAGTTAACAAATTGCTACAGAACAAAAGAGAAAAGAGGTTGGATCTTCAAATAATGTTCATCTCTTTTAATTAGAGTAAGAGTTTAATTGGTGAACTATCAAATCAGCCAAGTACAATATCAAAAAAACTGAATCTCTTGATCACTTAATCAGATTTACAAACAATTTTAGAGTACCAGTTTGTAGGTTATTCAAACATATTTATAGCAACTCTTGTTACACTTTTATTCATCAGTTTTATTTTAGAAAAAATCTCCATTCATAATTTATACTCCGTACTTTAGTTTTGGTCATTTTAAAAGTACGAGCAATTTCTATTGTGAGCCACATATTATACTTTGTGACTTGTGCCACAAAATAAATGAATGGTAATGTTGGTGCTACAATACCCCATATGATTCCATAAGAGAGTCATCTGAGGGTTCCTTAAAATTTTTGGTGACTTGTGAGCTTCATGTTATATTTTTGTAACACGATACTACATATGATTTCCTTTTGGAGTAACTTCCTACTGAATTTAGGGGAGCTCTATCAAACTGGTACTACCTCCGTTCTGTTCAAAGGTTCTCATTACAAAATGATACGGTTATTTAGACAACAATTAAATATGATAATTCGAGTATATTTTGAAAAATAATTTTGATGGTTATATAATATAATGTGATCTGTGATGATGACTGTGATGTTATAGATGTATTATTTTCAATACTTAATGATTATCATTTAAGAGTAACTTATTTCCTAAAATAAAATAAGAACCTTTAAATGCGACATTCTAAAAAGAAAAGTGAGAATCTTAGAATGGGATGGAGCGAGTATTATTTTACATTTTGGGAGGTAGAGAGAATGTTTTTTGAGGGGTTCACATATCAAAATGTAAAATATTTGGAGAAAAAGTAAGAATATTGGCGTTTAATTTACTAGCATGGGCATTATCATGAAGCCGATGAAAAAAAGATGCATAATACGGAGACACGGAGTATATAAATAGAGATTAAAGAACTGTATATTGAGAAATCGCATTAAACTTCGTCTACTACTCCCTCTGTCCCTAAATTTACTTCCATTTCGCTTTTCGAGAGTCAACTTAAATCACTCTTAAACTCTTACTTTTTGTATCAAAACTTTACGAAAATTGATTTTTTTGTGCAGGCTTTGTAGCGGGTTTAATGTAGTTTCTGAATATGTAAATTTTATTTACTAAAAATAATTCGAGTTTTCACAGGGATCATTTAATTTTATCGTCGGTCAACCTTCGTAACCCGCAATCAGAACAACATTCAGGGACGGAGGGAGTATATTAATAGGGATTTCTACTTCCTTTTTGTAAAAGATGCATAATATGGGTATACTCTAGTCTCTCACAAACAACACAAACATTCATGACAACAATGAGCTGAATTTCTCTATCTAAGGCACCAAAAACATTGAGTTGAATGGAAGAATAGCCAACAAACTGTAACAATAAGATTCTCACCTCTCAATTATCACTTCCCAAAAGAGTAGAAGTACATGTGCCTCTTGTGACCCATTCCCATCAAACTTTCATAACGAATTTAGTTCAACTTGCTAAAAGGTTGTGAGAAATGGGTACATTTGAGTTTAACTCATGACAACTTTAACAAGGTTCTAGTAAATATTTGATGTAGATCTCACTATATCAATTAGATTGTAATTATAATTAAATTTAATCTTTCCAACAAACTATTCCATCGGTTCTGAGAGCCCTAAAAAATGAGAGGTATCATTTTTTCTAAAATTTCCTTCAACTCTTTCAAGGTCTCGTCAAATGGGTCTTAGCTTACCTATAGTTTTTAAATGTTGATTGTAAAGGAGAGCCTTCATGGTGTTCATTATATGGTCTTTTGGTCTCAATCACACCCAAGTTCGTTCCATTTGGTTATACATGTAACATTACCATACATGATTTTTTTTAATTGATCATTTATTTATCGGGCACATTTTTAAAATATATGTTAGCCCTTTATTTTTATTCACGTTCACCTTATCCGTTTAATGCCTACAAAAACTATAAGTTTTTCCCTATTTGTGATACTATATGTATGAGTAACGTTCATACCAGTCCATTAGATCTGATATGAGTCCAGAGTCATATCAATTTTTTCTATTTGGAAGAAAATAATTTTTTGTTTCAATTCTTTTATTCAATAGTATCAACTACGGAGTATTAGTTTCAAACGTGAGATTTTATTTTTGAGCCCGTTTGGTGACCCTTTTTTTCGGCTTATGAGGCTTATCGGCCAGCTTTTTCACCAAACACGTTATTTTTTATTTCGCATGCTAAATTGTATAATAAGCAGAAAAAGTAAGGTTGAAGTTACTTTTCTGGCTGTATTGGCTGAAGTTACTGTAGAGGATCATTTTAGCTATTTTTTCATATAATTTTTTATTTTATTTATTAATAAAAAATATTTTAAATATAATTTTTTCATGAATCAGCAAAATTAGCCACTTCAGCCAGAACTTCATAAATTTCAGCAGAATCAGCCAATACGGCCAATTTTAGTGTTACCAAACGGGCTCTTTGTTTGAAAGTGGACCCTACAATCTCAAAATTTCCCCTCTAACACTTATCTAACGGTAAGTATGAATTTATCATAGAACTCATATTTAAGTTTGGAAGAATTTAATTTTTTTTTATAATTTAGCGATTGGAACTAATATGTAGTAAAAGGTATAGACTAACCTGAAATTCACAAACATTTCTGATTTCACTTCGAACTCATGCAGAATGTGATCTGATCATATCTTCTTTATCAGCCAAATATGAAATTGACTTGACGGATTCCCATCTGGCCGACGTCACATAAACGCTACTCCTGTAAGTATTTTTGTACTCCCTCCATATTTTTTATCTGCTACATTTACCT